GGTACATGTGTGTGGTGATGGGTTGTAATTAGTATTTTGGTGGTGAACATGATGTAATCTGTGCAGAAATGGAAGTACAATGATGTACACCTGAAATTTTTACAATGTTATAGACCAATGTTACTGCAATAAACAAAAAAAATTAAAAAAAAAATACTTCTTGCATTAAAGTCTATTTTATCTGTTATTAATATATTTATAGCAGCATTCTTCTAATTACTGTCTAATATATTTCTCCCCTCTTTTACTTTTAACATATCTGTCTTCATATTTAAAGTATGTTTCTTGTAAGCAGCATAATTGATCCTGTTTTTCCTTTTAATCTCATCTAACAATCTTAGTTTTTAATTGCAGTGGTTAGTCCATTCACATTTTACTACAATTACTTGATAAAGTGTGGTTTAAGTCTGTCATCTTGCTAAAGTTTTCAGTTTGTCCCATCCATTCTTTATTTCTCCTTTCCTGCTCTCTTTTATGTCAATCAGGTATTTTTCATTGTTCTGTTTTATCTCCTTTACTTACTTTTTTGTTTATACATCTTCGTATAATTATTTTAGTAGTTAACCTGAGATATTATAAGATGCATATTTAACACAGTCTCCTTTAAATTAGGGCTTTTACCACATCCCAAATAACGTAAGAACATTTCAAAAGTGTGACTCCATTTACCTTATCCACCATTTTTGCTACTATTGTCATTCCTTCTTCCTATATTACAAGCCCCAGAAAGCATTATTATTTTTGTTACTTTAAACAGCCTACTTGTTTAGCCATATTAATTGTATATATACTGTGTCTACAGCTGTTCATTGCTTTTTTGCACATCTGGGATTATTTTCCTTTAGTCTGAATGCTTTCCTTTAGTATTTCTCTTATTGTGGGTCTGTTGGTAAAAAATTCAGCTTATATTTGAAAAAAATCTTTATTTCACCTTCATTTCTGAAAGATATTTTCTCTGGGTATAAAATTCAGAGTTGTCAGTTTTTTTCTTTCTGCATTTAAAGATATAATTCCCTTCTTCAGGGTATTATAGTTTCTGTTGAGAAATGAACTATTTTTCTTATTATTGTTTTCTTATAACTGATGTCTTTTTTTTTAACTAGATACTTTTAAGGTATGTTTTCAAGTGTGTTTTTCAACAGTTTGGCTGTGATGTGCCTAGGTGTGGATTTCTTTATTTTATCTTGGTTAGGTTTGCTGAGCTGTTTGATTTATGTATCAAAGTATTTCATGAGATTGGGGATGTTTTGTCCATTATTTCTTCAAATAATTTTTCTGTCCCATTCTCCTTTATTGTAGGCGTTCAGTTTCACATTTGGACTGTTTCCTGTGTTTCTCTTATGTTCAGCTCAGTTCTTGCCTTTCTTTTTTATCCTCTCTGCATAAGATTATTGTTAATTTGACTTTATGTTGATCAATACTGTTTTCTGTTGTTAAATCCATCCAATAAATTCTTAATTTTAGATATTATATTTTTGTAATTATAAAACATTCACATGATTCTTTTTTTAAGATTCTCAATCTCTAATGATATCCTCCATTTTGCATTCCTTTTTGCCCATGTTTTCCTTTACTTTCTTTAGCATGTTAATCATAATATTTTCAAGTCCTTGTCTGCTAGCTCCATTATCTGGATGATCTCTGCATCTGTTTCTATTGAGATGTTTTTTCTCTTCATTATCATTAACTTTTTCTTGTTTAATAATTTTTATCATATGATGGCATTGTGGATAATATATTATACAGACTTTGGATTATGTTAGCTTCCTTTAATAAATCTACATCAGGGTTTCTCAACCTTAGCACCGTTGATATTTTTGGCTAGATAACTCTTTGTTTTGGGGGACTTTCTTGTGCATTGTAGGATGTTTAGCAGCATCCTTGGTCTCTACCCACTAGAGCACCCCTTTCCACATTTTGACAACCAAATAAGTCTCCAGACATTGCCAAATGTTCCCTAGGGAGAAAAATCACCCCCTGTTGAGAACCAGTGGTCTGCACAGTAATTTTCAATATCTGCATCATTTTCCATTATATGAACGCACTATAGTTTATTAATTAACTACCCGTCTAAGTACCTTTAGATTTTTCTCCAGCTTTTTTTCATTTTAACTAGTGTCTATTATCGTATTCCTTTATACATCTCTAGGCACATTTTACAGTTATTTCCTTTGGATGGAGTCTCAGAAATGGCCTTTCACGGTTAAATTCTTCTTATGCAGAATTCTGTTTACATATCTCAATTGCACTAGGTTTTCACAAGTTTACGGGACACCTTGAGAATGCCCTTTTCCCTAAAACCTTACTAATACATAGTGTATCATCAGCCTTTCAAATCTGACAATTGAATACCTGTAAAATGATAGTATCTTATTGCTTAAAAATATCTCCTTAGTCAATCTTTTAGTAGGTGATGTTTTACAGTTGAAAAAAAAGGTGGCTTTATAGTTACGGAAAAATGATTTAAAACACATCACTTCTACTTGTTATTTGTGATATGGGCAAATGTCTTTAATTCTTTGAGCTTCCATTTCCTCATCTGTTGAACTTAGGTAATAAGTACATTGTAGGATTAAATGTTAATGTGTATAGATCACCTATCACACAGAAGTTTGCAAAAGTCTATGTGTTGCTATATGGCTTCAGTGAGCATGAATCACTCCTCCCTAGTGGGTACTGTGTGGGTTGGGAGCAGAGGGCACAGACAGTGATTCATGCCAGCAAGCAAAGTGGATCGCATTAGCGGGGCATCCAGGTTGGTTAGCCCAGAGGATCTCGGGAGTCATAGTTCCGGCTCAGGGGGAAGGCTTCACATGGGCGGGCAGTTTTACGGTGGTAAAAAGATTTCCACGTTGGTCTCTACTGTTTTCTGCCTTTTGTCTGGGGGAGTCCAGGTCCATCCCAAGGCCATGAAGGTTTGTGTTGCGTAGCCTGGTCTTGACCGTGGAACGTAGGCCTTGATGCTGGAGCATCTACTCAGTATGACTAAAGACCCAGGCTGGGGTACCATTGGCATGATCAGGATGAGGAATAGGACAGAGTAGGGTGTCTGGATCTGGGTTTGGTGCAAGAGTGCCTGCTCTGTATCCACGCTTGTGTGGCTTGTCTCCCTACATATGGGGAAGGGCTTGGATTTGTCTGGACTTCTTCTCATATCCTCTGACATGTGTTTATGTGCTTGGGAGTGCGGGGAGTGGGCAGGGACAGGAGAAAGCAGGAATACAGAAGAAAAAAGAGAGGTTATCTTACCTTAAATAATTTTTGGAGTTCTGAGATACACCGTATCTCAAGGCCTCTTTTTCCTCCCCCAGCCCTGGCTTCTCTGAACTCTGCTTCTCCAGTAGAGGAAACTTGAGGAGGATTGGCAGTTCTAAAACCATGGCCCAGGTAAGTGGGTGTCTCTTTCTCCTTCCTAAAATACTATGATTTTTAGTTCATGTAACATTTTCATTCATTATCCCCAGACCACCTACCTAGGAAAGCTGTGAATCTATTCCAGAGTTTCTCCCCTTACAGAGAAGGATGGTGTCCTCTTCATTTGCTCCCTTTTTCAAACTGATTTTCACTTACTCATCAAATAATTCATTCATCTTCCATGTATTCAGTCTTCTCTCAAGAGCAGTGTTGGAGCAGTGAAAGAGTGAAGTACTTTGAAGGCAACGTTTGAGCTTCCCTCATCAGGTTCGTGGTTTCATGATATAGAAATGATAGTCCTATTTGACCACAGGAGGGAAAACGTTCTCCCCAGTTTTTCAGGTAGATAAGGGAGATTGGGTTATGAGTGGTCTCAGTCTCAGTATGAGATGAGATCTCAGCTTTGAAAAGCTTTTAGGTTTGGGTAGAAATGGGAGATGCCTAAAGAGAGATCATGGATCTGGCTAAGGAATCACAAGAAATGAATAAGGTACCAAGGTCCATTTTGTATTGGAAGAGAAATTGCTGGTCTTGAGTGAATCAGTGTTGTTCTAGATCATCCTACGTTAGTGTGTTCCAACTCAGGAATAGGAATTCAGTAAGCAGTTGTAGAAAGGAAGGTCATCTAGAACTACATTTGCTAGATGAAATTGAACTGTGGGGAGGAAGTTAGGATTTGTGTCCAACCTAAATATCATAATAGTATAATACTTTATATTTTAATATTATTATTATTAATACCTTAATACTTTAAGAAAGATTAAATCTGATATCTGTAAGAGGGACTAAATAAAGACATTAATTTGTCAGAATAAAGGAAATGCTTATGACATAATCTGACATATAAAAAACTTGTGTCTTGATAAAATTACTTAATTTTATACAAACTCTATTTCCTAAGATAGAAACTTTATCAGCTTTTTTTGAGGTATAATTGACATATAATTAAGTGTATGTATTTTGTCTTTTTAAAGCAGCTGTATTGAAATATAATTGACAATAAACTGCTCATATTTAGAGCGTAGAATTTGATGACTTTTGACATATGTATACACCTGTGAAGCCATCACCACAGTCAAGATAATGGACATATCCATCACTCTAAATTTTTCTCATACCCCTTTATAATTGCCCCTTCCTACCCTTCCCACCCTGCCCCAGTGCCCAGGCTAATCACTGTTCTGCTTTCTGTCACTAGAGGTTAGTTTGCGGTTTCTAGAATTCTATATAAATGGAATCATACATTATGTACTCTTTTTCTGTCTGTCTTATTTCATTCAGCATATTTATTTTGAGATTCATTCATATTGTTGTATGTATTAGTAGGGCCTTCTATTTTATTGCTGACTGGTATTCTATTCTCAGGATATAGCACAATCTGTTTATCTATTCCTGTGTTGATGGACATGTGGGTTCATTCCACTTTTTGGCTCTTACAAATAAAGCTGCTGTGAGCCTTCATGCACAAATCTTTGGTTGGACATATGCTTTCATTTCTCTTGGGTAAACTCTAGGAGTGGAATGGCTGGATCATATGGATGTTTAACTTTTAAAGAAACCAATAAACTGTTTTTCAAAGTGATTGTTCCATTTTACTTTCCCACCAGCAGTGTATCAGAATGCCATTTTTCCCACATCCTTGCCAACACTTAAAATGGTCAGTCTTTTTCATTTTAGTCATTCTAATAGTTGCGTAGTAGTACTGTCTCCTGGCAGTAAGCTAGCACCATCATAGGGTTCACTTCATTGGTTACCGTCTCTCAGCAACCAGTTTTTCATTGCCCAGCGTTTTCTGTCTTGAAACCATCGTTTCATATGTTTTAGCCAGGTTTTTAGTTATTTCATGCAGGAGGGTAAATTCAATCCCTGTTATTCCATTTTGGCTGGAAGAGATTTTATAATTCATTTTGGGGGAAGAAAATATCAATTCTTTTTACATAGTCCTTGAAGAAAAAAGATGTAAGTACTTACATTTATTAATAGTCTATAATTTAGGTACATAGCAGGTAGTATGCTTACATATACTCTTTCATTTAATTGAGAAAGTCTGATTACTTTATTCATTTTCATACATTTGGAAATTTAAGTTTTTCTGTATATTTAAAGAAATTTTGTGTGCTTCAACAGGATTCTTCAAGATTGTGTAGGGACAGTTAATTTATTCTCATCTGACCATGTCATGATCTTGTAACTTCAGCCTACTTGTTTTTGTGTATTGCCCCTTTACTGCAATTCACTATTCCATCCTGAAGATTTTTTGTTGATTTTCACAAATAATACATGGGTTTGTCCTTTCAGGTGCCCTTGACATTCAGTGATGTTGCCATAGACTTCTCTCAGGAGGAGTGGGATTGCCTAGACTCAGACCAGAGGGATTTGTACAGAGATGTGATGCTGGAGAATTATACTAACTTGGCCTCGCTGGGTAAGGACATCTGCCTGAAATGATGTAGAATCTGCCGTCTGGCATATCCACTTTCTCCACTGTATATTTTATGCTCTAGGCCAAGAAACCAGCTAAATTTCTGCTCCACATTCTCAAAGGACTAGTTTGAGCTCCGATAGATGGAAATGAGCACCTCCATTCGGCACCTGAATCTTCCCTATCCATCATTACCTTCCTGCCTCCCTCTGCCCCATCCTGCAGAAAAATTGCTCCTTTTTCTAAATGACTAAACATTTGAATTCTGGGCCTTTTTTTCTGCATAGTCACTGGCAAAGAAAACACATTTCATATTATGTGTATGTTCAGAATGTCTATAAATATTTTCTTTTAATTGCTGGTCCACCTATACAGAGAACAGGTAACATAGAGTCCTGGTTTCCTCTTTGCTACAAAAGAGACTTGGTAATTTTTATGATGGTAGAATGAATCAAGATCATTACCTTTTTGAGTATTATCATTTGTATTTATAGCACTGGCTTGCAGTGATTTGATAGATTCTACTCAGAAGTGAAAGTCTTTGTTCAGTTTTTGGAAAATACTTGACCGTTCTCTCCTCTCTTCTGAGACTCCAATTATAGCTATGTTGAATCTTTTGAGCATATCTCACGTTTCTATCATGTGTTTATCTTCTTTTCTCTCTATCATTTTCTGTTGACCTGTATGCCAGCTCACTTATCCTGTATTCTGCAGTGATGAGTATGCTCCTAAAGAGGGGTTTTTCGTATCAGATGTTGTCTTCTTCAGTTCTATAAATTCAATTTGATTGTCTTTCATAACTTCCAATGATCTGTTGAAGTTCTTCATTCTTTTATTTATGTTTTTTTCACTACTGTCTTTTCATCTGTTTTCTTAAACATTTTCATCATAGTTATTTTGTAATTCTTGTCTGCCTTCATTCTTTGTATCATCTGTGGGTCTGCTTCTATTGTTTCTTTTTTTTCTCTTGTTATTCATCATATGGTAATGCCTCTTCAGTTACTAGTAGTTGTGATTGTGTGCTGGACATTGTGTACAAAAGAACTGGAGCGGTTTCGGATGGTGGTGTCTTCCACCAGAGGGTATCTCCGTTTTCCCTGTGGGTCTAATAGAATGGCAGAGGTTAATTAGGACAGTCTGGGTTTCAGTTTTGGTAATACTAAGCTCCCTCTTTTTTATCACGGTGCCTTTACCTCTAGCTGTGCTCAGAATCAGTGAGTTTCTCCAGGGGAAAAGTAGCAGTAGAGCCTCAGAGCCAATTCACCACTCCTTTAAGGGCTCTTGCTGCTTATCTGTTTTGATTTCAAGCTTCCTCTTCCAGTGGATCTTTTGTTTCCAGAAGAAATGCTGAAAATTAACAAGCTAATCATCCATTTGATAAGTTAGGAAAAGAAGAGCACAGTGTACTTAAAGAAACCAGAAGAAAGGAAATAATAAAAGAAAGAACAGGGGCCGGCCCGGTGGCGCAAGCGGTTAAGTGCGCGCGCTCCGCTGCGGCGGCCCGGGGTTCGCTGGTTCGGATCCCGGGCGTGCACCGACACACCACTTGTTAAGCCACACTGTGGCGGCGTCCCATATAAAGTAGAGGAAGATGGGCACGGATGTTAGCCCAGGGCCAGTCTTCCTCAGCAAAAAGAGGAGGATTGGTAACAGATGTTAGCTCAGGGCTGGTCTTCCTCCCAAAAAAAAATAAAGAACAGAAATTAATGAAATAAAAACCATACAAAGAGCATGTCACAACCATAAATTTGATTATCACAAAGAACTGATAAAATTGGTGCAACTCTCTCAACATGAATCAAGAAAATCATCTACATGAGGAAAAAAGGGGACCTCATTACAAGCCATGAAGCCTTGAAAATATGATATTTTGATAAACATTATGCCAGAAACTTTGAAAAATCAAATGAAATAAATTACTAGAAAATTTTAATCTACATAAATCTCCACTCAAGAAAAAAAAAAAAAGAAAATGTGAAACGTCTCATAAGCACTAAAGAAACTGAATCAGTCATCAAGAGTCTTTCCACAGATTGGAAGATTCAGGCCTAGGTGGTTTGTCATTAAAGTATAAATGCAGCAGTTTGAACATGCAAAAATTGGGGGAGAATTTTTCCTATAAGCTCTTTTTTGTTGAGTCCAACAAAGAATAAACTACAGAAAAGTAAGAGACGAATAGAAAAATAACTACTTGAAAATAGAGAGTATATTTATAATAGCTCTTTTAATATTCTTTTCAACTAATTCTCTGTTATCATTCTTTGGTCTGTTTTTTTTCTTTGATTTTTCTCCTAGTCAGGGTGATATTTTCCTGCTATTTTTCATGTCTGACATTTTTACTAGATGCCGGACATTGTGAAGTTTACAGTGCTGGAATGCTGGATTTTTAATATTCTTTTTTGCATATTTTGGGGCTTGGTTCTGGGATTCGGTTATGTAATTTGGAACCTGTTGATCCTTTCACAGTTTGCCTTTAAGCTCTGTGGGGGCGTGTCCAGAACAGCTTTTAGTCTAGTGCTGGTTTGGCCCCGCTACTGAGGCACTACCCTTCTCTGAACTCTATTCAATGCCTCATGTGTTATGGAGTCTTTCCATTCTGGCTGGTGAAACAGGAACTATCCTCTGCCTGTTGTGACTTCCAGGGCTTGTTCTGCCTACTCATATCTGGTGGTACTTTCCTTGGCGTCATTTGTTTCCTCACACTCATGTGAGATCCTTACTCAGCCAGTGTCAAGGGGACCCCTCACAGTTTCCTAGAGGTTTCTCTCTGTGCAGCTCACTCCTTTCTGGTACTCTGCCTTGCAAATTCTGTACTTCCTTCTCTCCCTGTATCTACTCTGTCTCCTCAACTCAGGGGTAAAGCTGGGCTCTGTTTTAGTTCCCCCTCCCTGGGCTTTGTTCTAGAAAGTCTCTTCGGGAGTCAGCTGTGGCACTTGTAGGGCTCGCTTCATTTGTTTGCCTTCTCTTAGGGGATCACTATCCTGCACTACCTGTTGTCTGGTATCTGAAAGCCGTTTCGTATATCTTTTCTGTTTTCCAGTTATTTAAGGTAGGAGGGTAAATCTGATTTCTCTTAATGTTACATGACCAGAAGCACAAGTGATTCACTCTCTTCATCTTTGAAAACTTCTTCGCACTTTAGTACAAGAGGTCCCAGACTCACCTTGCATCTTCCTTGCCCTGGACTGGGAATTAGCTATTTCTCCAAGGCACCCTAGTCCACATTAGTGGGAAACAGTTTATAGGGACTGAAACCTGGCCAATAGGGAGGCTAATGGTGATAGGCGTTTTGTGGGGATAAATATACAATTTTTTTTTCTATGTCATTGTGGATATTGGTTTGTTCTGATTTTCCATCTCTTCTGGAGTCTGCTTGTTGTTGTGTAACTTTTTATTTTGAAATAACTTTAGATTTACAGAAGAGTTACAAATGTGGTACAGAGAGTTCCAGTATACCGTTCCTGTAATGATAATGTCTTCCATAACCATAGCACATTTATGAAAACTATCAAATTAATATTTACAATACTATTAACTAAACTCAATATTTTATTCAGATTTCACCAATTTTTGCACTAATGTCTTTTTTTCTGTTCCAGGATCCAATCCAGGATACCACATTACTTTTAGTCATCCTGTGTCTGTAGTTTCCTCCAAATGTGACAGTTTCCCAGTCTTTCTTTCTCTTTCATGACCTTGATACTTTTGAAGAGTACTGGTCAGGTATTTTGTAGAGTGCCCCCAAATTTTGGTTGGTTTGATGTTTTCTTAGGATTAAACTGAGATTATGGATTTGGGGGAAGAATACCAGAGAAGTACCCTTCTCATCATGTCGTACTGGGGGTACATGATATCAACATGATGTGTCACTGGGGTGTTAACCTTAAAAACTTGTTTAAGGGGGTGTCTGTCAGTTTTCTTCACTGTAAAGTTATTATTTTTCCCTTTCCATATTCTATTTGTTAGAAGCAAGTCAGTACATCTAGCTGGGGTCGTTTTGATAAATTATATTTTCAGAAAGATTCATCATTTCACGTACATCTCAAATTTATTTGCACAGTTGTCTTGTATGATTTTTTAACATTCTCTATTTCTTTATCGATTACCATTTCCCTATTGTTTTGTATTCAGATTTTCCTCCTTTTTTTTCCTTGAATAGATAGACTAGTGGTTTGTATGTGTTAATTGTACACTTTTATTTAAATTTTGCTTTTATTTTATTAATGTCCCTTTCTGCCTTCCTTCGGTGTAATTTATCATTATTTTTCTAATTTTTTCCTAATTTTGAATTGTAATGCTTAATTCATTCATTTTAATTCTTGTATTTTTCGTTAGATGTAAGCCTTTTAGCCTATGAGTTTGCAGCACTATAGTTGAAAGCCATAGATTCTGATGTGTAGTATTCTCATTATCATTGTTTTCAAGAAGTTCTGTGGTTTCAGTTTGCATCTTCTCATTGACCTAAGAGTAGTTATTGAGGGCTTTTCATTTATAAATAGAAAGTGTTTTGGCTTTTTGAGATTGTTACTCATTTCTCCTTGGTTCAAAGAATATTGTTTATATTATTTCAAATTTTTGAACATACCATACTTTATTCGTAGAAGAATTCCACTTGTCTCCAACGCATACTTGACCCATTTCGCCTATTAGATTTCTTCAGGCTGCTCCACTCTCCACTTGTCTCCAGGCACTCAGTTTCCCTGACTCTTTCCCAATATTATTTAGTTACCCTCTTTTTTCCCAACATCCCCAAGTTTATTTGCTTAGCCCTTCATAAGCTTTTTAAAATAGTGTTAACTAATACCATTCCTGAAATACATTTCCATGAAATTGAAGAATGATTGGCTTTAGCTATAAAGGAATAGAAGGGAGAATTTGGGAGAGGCATTGGAGAAATGAAACAGATTGAACATCTGTAGGATGGGTGAATAACATTAAAACTCTACTGATGAAGGTCTTACACCACTGATTACCTTGACTGAGATAAAAGCAGAAAAACAGTCATGGCTATGCACAGGAAGGGCTGAACAATAGTGGTAGAGACATGTATATTTTTAAGAGGAGAGGCAATTGGAGAATGATCAGGTGTCAGCTTTTCCATTTATATTTTTGACTGACCTAGTTCGACTGTGCATTTTTCTCATCAGTAAGGTAAATGATAGAGGAAAGCATATTTTACTGTAATAAGGTGTGAGAGATTAGAGTCAGGGAGAGAGAGTTGATAACTGTTGCATAATTTTCAGAAACTAAATGGTTATTTTCACGGCTGCCTTCCCTGGTGACCTTGATTTTCATCCTTTTTTTTTTTTTTTTTGGTGAGGAAGATTAGCCCTGAGCTAACATCTGTTGCCAATCCTCCTCTTTTTGCTGAGGAAGATTGGCCTTTGGCCAACGTCTGTGCCCATCTTCCTCTACTTTATATGTAGGATGCCTGCCACAGCATGGCTTGATAAGTGGTGCATAGGTCGGCACCCGGGATCCGAACTGCAAATCCTGGGCTGCCAAAGCGGAGTGCACAGACTTAATCACTACGCCATCAGGCTGGCCCCTGATTTTCATCCTTATTTACCTTTATTTTCATCCCAGTTACTTTTTAAAATTCAATATTTTATTCTGCAATTAATTATTTAATACCTCTCTTGTGGTAAGGACTTGTTTTTCAGTGGTAGATGAAAGAAGTTTTGCATCAATACTTGAGTTTTAGAGTAAGAAAATAAATAAAAAAACAAATATGTAATAAATATGTAATAGAGGAAAACATTGTGAAGGCAAAAACTTAGGTGTTGGAATATAGAATAAAGGATATTTATTTATATAGAGTCAGCAGGGGCAGCCTTTCTAAGGAAGTGACTCCTAACTGTAACACTTGAATATAGTAATTTAAAGAAGCCACCTAAGAGGATTCCTGAAAGGTGGAGCACCTGTGTGAAGCCCCAGGAGATGGGAAAGGTTGTGGTATGTTCTAGAACCTGAAGAGATGCAGTGTGGTAGGATATAGGGAACAAAGATGTCAAGGGCTTGCAATGAATTTGTCTAAATAAGACAGAGCCTTTTTATTCATCGTTATGTGTTTGAGTTTCATTCTAAGATAAAGACAAACCATCAGGGCTGGCCCAGTGGCATAGTGCTTCAGGTTGTGCACTCTGCTTTGGTGGCCCGGGGTTCGCAGGTTCAGATCCCAGGCGTGGACCTATGCACCACTTATCAACCCATGCTGTGGCAGCATCCCACATATAAAGTAGGGGAAGATGGGCACAGATGTTACCTCAGGTCCAATCTTCCTCAGCAAAAAGAGGAGGATTGGCAACAGACGTTAGCTCAGGGCTAGTCTTCCTCACACACAAAAAAAAGACAAACCATTGAAAAAATTACATAGAGAGCCATCTGGTAGATAATGTTAGAAATGTAGATGACCAGGAGCTACTCCTAAGGATTCTGATAAACTCAGTCTCAGCAGATATCTAAACGGTGGTATATGTAAGCTCCCTTGGTAATTCCGATCCACAGCTAAATATGAGAACTACTGACCTTTTCTCTTTGCCCACTCACAAACTTACATTCTCATGAGAACTTTCATAATTTTCTGAGCCCTTCTTGCCTTTTCAAAATTTCATGGCCGTATTTCAGAATTTTGTGACCCTTTTACTTCTAACGAATATGCTTTTCAATTTTACTTCTAATGAATATACTTGTCAATTTTTACTATAGAAGGCTCCTCCCCACTCCCAGTACAGGAAAATAGCATTTGTTTGTTTTCTTGTTTTCTTTCAGACTTTGACTTCACAGCTGAGACCAATAAGTTATCTTCAGAAAAACACAGTTATGAAGTAAATTCATGCCATCGAGAGACAATGAAAAGAAGTAAAACCTTCAACCTTTTGGGATTTATTTTCAGAAATGACCCACAGAGCAGAATTGAATTTGAGAGACAACAGGGACCTAAAGTGGGATGTTTTAGTCCAATGACATTCAGAAAACATATATCCCTTCCTCTACGTCAGAGAATTCACACTAGAGAGAAAGCCTATGAATGTAGGGAATGTAGGAAGGGCTTCAGAAAATATTCACACCTTACTGAACATTTGAGAGACCACAGTGGTGTGAGACCCTATGAATGCAAGGAATGTGGAAAGGCGTTTATAGTTCTTCAGCATTTTATAAGACATAAAAAAGTTCACACCGATTTGAAGCCCTATGAATGTAATGGATGTGAGAAGGCCTTTCGGTTTTATTCCCAGCTGATTCAACATCAGATAATTCATACAGGTGTAAAACCCTATGAATGTAAGCAATGTGGGAAGGCCTTTAGACGCCATTCTCACCTTACTGAACATCAGAAAATTCACATTGGTTTGAAACCCTATGAATGTAAAGAATGTGGGGAAACTTTTAGGTTGTACCGACATATGTGTCTACATCAGAAAATTCATCATGGTGTGAAACCCTATATATGTAAGGAATGTGGGAAGGCCTTTGGTCATCGTTCAAGTCTTTATCAACATAAGAAAATTCATTCTGGTGAGAAACCCTATAAATGTAAACAATGTGGAAAGGCCTTTGTTCGCAGCTATCTACTTATTGAACATCAGAGAAGCCATACGGGTGAGAAGCCTCATGAATGTAAGGACTGTGGAAAGGCCTTTAGTAGGGGCTCAAGCCTTCTTAAACATAAGAGGATTCATAGTAGTGAGAAACTCTACGATTGTAAGGAATGCGGGAAGGCCTTCTGTAGAGGCTCTCAACTTACGCAACACCAGAGAATTCATACTGGTGAGAAGCCACATGAATGCAAAGAATGTGGGAAGACTTTTAAACTTCATTCATACCTTATTCAACATCAGATAATTCATACTGATTTGAAACCATATGAATGTAAACAATGTGGGAAAGCCTTCAGTCGCGTTGGAGACCTTAAAACACATCAGTCAATTCACGCTGGGGAGAAACCCTATGAATGTAAGGAATGTGGGAAAACCTTTAGACTTAATTCTCAACTAATTTATCATCAGACGATTCATACTGGTTTGAAACCATATATATGTAAAGAATGTAAGAAGGCCTTTCGTTCTATCTCAGGTCTTTCTCAACATAAGAGAATTCATACCGGTGAAAAACCCTATGAATGTAAAGAATGTGGTAAGGCCTTTAATCGTAGTGATCGACTTACTCAACATCAGAGAATTCATACTGGTGTAAAACCACACAAATGTAAGGAATGCGGGAAGGCCTTTACTCGTTGCTATCAACTTACTCAACATCAAAGATTTCACAGTGGTGAGAAACTCTTAATATAGTGAGAGTTGGCAAGCCTTTAGCCATGGCACATCCTTTACCATTATCACTGTTTTACCACCTAATGATGTTATGGTAAAGATAAAATTATTTAACATAAAATATAAACGTTTGGAAGGGCATCTGGCACACAGTATTTGCTTACTAAATATTGTTATTTTTTATGATAATCATTAGTGTTACTATGAATAAATTCATGTGGAATTTAAGGAAGGAAGGAAGACTCTATGAGCATATTTTAAAAATCTTTCTATCAGCACTTGTCCATATTTTACTTCAGATAATTTATTCTGGACAAAATCTCATAGAATATATTAAACAAGAAACTTTTTAACTCAAAGCTCATCCCCAGTGAAGACTAATGGAAGGAAACCCTGTGCCTTTGTTGAGTATTGAGAGTATAGCTGTTGAAAAATTGGAGAGTGGTTTAAAGAAATTTTCTTATAATAAATTCTATTATACAGAAAACATACAATCCACATTCCCTACAATTCAGAGAAATTAGAAATTAACAGTTGGGAAGCCAAAAGACAGATGTTGACCTGAAACAGTTTTCCTCAAGTTTTTGAAAGTTCTCAAATTTACGTAAAAGGTACAACAGTGATATAATGAAGGTTTCTTTGCCCTCCACCTAGATTCAATATATCTGATATCTCTCGTACGTATGAAAATGTATATACGGATGCACACATATCATATATCATTCTTATTACATATTAAATATATATTACATGTATCTTTTTGCTGTGCTTTTTGAGTGAATGTTTAGGTATCACTTCACCTCTAAAAAATCAACATACAACTCCTAGAATTAAAGATAATCTTCTACATGATCACTAAACTATTGTTCACCTAAAAAACATTAACAGTACCCCTGTGACATTCTGCAATATTCAGTCCATTTACAAATTGCTCCAGTTGTTCAAAGAATGTCTTCTAAAAGTGCTGGTTTTTTAAAAGCCAAAAACCAAACTAAGCTCATATATTTTATATGATTGTGGTTTATTGAGTCTCTTTTGGTCAAGAACTTACCCTCCACCTTTTTTTGTGACTTAGACTTTTTGAAGACTCAGGAGAGATAACCTATATAATGTTGCACATTCTGTATTTGTCCTATTTTTTTACAAAGTGGGCTTAATTTGTTCCTCTGTTTTGTATTTATTGTGAACTTGAGGTTATGTTTAGAGGCTTGATTAGGTTTCAGATTAAACATTTTTGACAACACTACTTCATAGATAATATTGTGTATTTAATATGGTAAAATACCAGGTGGCATACAGGTGAAACTGTTTGATCTCTTGGTTCACATGTTCACCACCAGCTCTCTCCATTATATTGGTACGTTTTTCCTTTGCAATTAATAAGCAATCCATGGAAAGTCACATTGGCACTCCACTTGGAAATTTAAACAGTCTTATGTTTTTTTAAGAAAGTAAGACCAAGAAAACCCTCATCTTTTATATTTACGCATAAATTTACCTTCTCCCATGCTCTTCATTCCTTCTCAATGATCTGAATTTCCATCTGGTATGATTTTCCTTCAGCTTGAAGAACTTAGTTTAGCATTTCTTGGAGTGCACATCTGCTGGATGAATTTTCATAGTTTCTTTTACTGAAATGCCTTTGTTCTTGAAGGGTATTTTTTCCTGCCATAGAATTCTGGGTTTTGGTTTGTAGTTTTTTGAAAAAGGATATTGTATCACTGACTTCTGGCCTCCATAGGTAATGATAAGAACTCACTTGAATTATTTTTCCTCTGTGATGTGTCATTTCTCTCTGTGTGCTTTCAAGATTTCCTCATTTTCAGATGTTTGAGTGTGCTGTGCTTAGGTGTGGTTTTCTTTGTGTTAATCCTATTTAGGATTCTCTGAGCCTCTGAAATCTGTACACTTCTGCCTTTCACCAAATTTCAGAAATTTTTGGCCATTGTATCTTCAGATATTTTTTCCTGCCTTTATTTGTCCTTCTGGGATTCCAAGTACTCATATGTTAAATCTTCTCATACTGTCCCACAGGTCACTGGCTCTTTTATTTATCTTTAACCTTCTTTCTGTTTTTCAGATTGGATAATTTCTGTTGATCTGTCTTCAAGTTCACTGATTCTTGTTTCTGTCATCTCAATTCTGCTGTTAAGCTTTTCTATCTAATGTTTAATTTGAGACATAGCATTTTTCAGTTCTAGAATTTTCATTTAGTACTTTTTTTATAGTTTCTATTTCTTTACTAAGACTTCCTGTTTCTTCATTGCAAGCATATTTTCACAGTGCTTTTGATTCTGGTGAAAATATTCTGTATATTTATTCGTGCTAGAAAAATATGTAACATTATTATTAACTTATGAAAAGTTTCACTTTCAACAAATGACCCTACCCTTTCAGCTAGGTCACAAAAAAAGCTTTTCCTTTCCTTGGATTTTGTTTGTTCATATGCAGTGTGTTACTGGTGAGAAAAGATAAATCACACTGTCATTTTTTGGGTTTTGATTATGAAATATTTGGCAAGTTTTTTTTTTAAAGAAACCCTTGAACTGAAGTTCAAAGTACAGTAAATCTTTGTAACTCTTCCACCGTTCAACCAATGAGCATTTTTTTCGTACCTAGCAGAAATTTTTTTGACATATATAGAAGATTCAAAAATATCTATGCTGTGAGTCTGGTTTTGTAGGCTGCAAATTGACAACATTTCTTTTTGATTTTTAAGTCTTTTGAGACAAAATGTACCCAGAATATTAATTGGGCAGTGTCTCATTGCACAACTCATCTAAACCTAAAGAAGAGTATGTGTAGCTTTTTAAATTTTGAATTAATTGATCTTTGATATTGTTAGAAAGATCTGTGGGCAGTTGTTTGGTGGCTTAATTGAAGATGTGTTTCACTTTTTGTAAAATATAATTTTTAGTCTTTTCTCATAATATACTAACAAAATTTCCATAACTAAACTAATAATTATCTTTCTATGTCTCCATCTTAAAGTTTGATTTCTTTTTTGTGCAAGACTCAAAGCCATTTTATAGCTAGACAAAATGATAAGCTCAGATTATATTTTTAAATTATTTAGAATTTTTGGTTGCACATTTAATTTTGATTTCAGGCAACCATTTTCATTTATTCCTTTTTCCTTATCAAGAGGAAATTTCTCATTAAATTTACTACGTATTTGCTGAAGATGTCTCACAATATTGTCCACCTTATTAACTTAAGGTTTTTTTACATTATCAAACAGCTTTTTTGTTTTGCCCTGTCACAGCAATTGCAGTTGGCATTCATCATGAAATTCACAGTACAACTTCCAGTCTCCTATTTTTTATTCTTCTGGCCATAGAACTGGTCTCTACTTGATTGTGCATCATTAATACACTTTCATTTTAAGTTTAAAAATTTGTACATATTTTTTAACCTAGAATAATAATTATAATTAAAGTAGTATTTAAATTTAATTAACAATTATTATTTCTTTCATATCACTGTAACTCATGTTATCTTCAGAAAATATGCAAATAAACACATCAATTTCTTGACATCCACTAGATCAGTGATGTGTTTATAATACTATACACACAACACACACACAACATGTACACTATAACACCAAAGTAATACTATGCAATGCAATGGTTAAAGTGAAATGTAGTCCTACCAAAACAATAAAGTTGTCATAATGGGAAAATATTTTACACTGCTTCAGTTTTTTTCATTTAGATTTAAATTAATTAAAATTAGATAAAATTAAAAAGTTAATTCCTCAGTCACACTCGCCTTTTGTCTTAGGAGGTTCAATCTGGTGGCCATATAGAATATATTAGATGTAGGGTGGGAATGAGAGGAGCATCAGAAGAACCTGAATGCAAGGTATCTGTGCGGTATTACTAGGTATTGCAGTAATCTAGATTGGACATAGGGAAGATTCACTACCGCGGTGATGGTGGAAAAAGGTCAAATGTTTTTCATGTATTAAGTAGAATCAGCAGGATGTGATGCCTAATGGGATGTGAGAGACCAAAAATTCCAGAAAGATTCTCAAACACTGTAAGTATTCCTGTAAGCTCTCATTTTGATTATTTAATTCCAGCCTACTAGATATTTTGTATCAGTACTGATGTCTAAGAAGTTCAATTCCATGGTTGGTATTTGAGTTAGGGGCCTAATTCAAGACTGCTAATTACCCCCAATATTCATCTCCCTTTCTTCCATAATAAGAAAAAATCATGACTTATTTGCTTATGTGGGCCACTCAGGATCATAATTGTCTTCTTCTACCTTATTGGTCCAGGGATCTTCAGTTATGGCCAGTTGAAGATAACTGGAATTGTGTGGCAGTTTGGGGGAACCTTCCTTAAATGCACCTGGTTCATCTCCTTTTCTCTCTTTATTCCTCCATGCATCCATTCTGCTGCCTGAATTTGAATAAGATGATTCAGAGAACTTTGGAGCAGAGCTACAGTGCCAGGCTTAGACTGCCCACCTCCAGAATTTCATGTCACCGAGAAAAATTTTCCTGGTTAAATCACTGTCATTCTGGGTCTGTCTGTCTTACAGACAAACATGATCTTTACTGATTCATCCAGTTTGCTATATGTGCTATATACATCACACCCACCAATCTTATGTCAATCAAAAGCAGAGCAAAGATTTCCCATGAGTGTTCCCATGTAAGTACTCATCCCCACCTCATCAAAAATTCAGAGTACCTGCAAGGAGGAGACACTTAATTTGCCTTCTAGGACATGCTTTTCACCAAAAATTCAGAGTACCTGCAAGGGGGAGACACTTAATTTGCCTTCTAGGACATGCTTTTCTGCCTGTCTGGTAGACTGAGAAAAGTGCTAAATGACATTTTTAAAGATTGCATGAATTTTGGAGGTAAAGGCATTAGGAGATGCTATTTGAGATCATCCCTAGGGGAAGAAGAGCAGCCATGTTAATTTATAGAACATTGTAAGATAGGAGCTTTAGTAAGATGCTCCTAAGCTTGAGAGACAGAAGCAGTGAGTATTAGCAGAAGTAAGTGGAATTTCAAACCCTGCTATATTTGGCTTTTAAAATTGGAGTTGTTCCCCCATGTCTGTCTTTGGAAAACTGAAATAGAGCAATGCTTTGAGGCAAATGGAGAAAGAGGAGCTACAATCCATGAGTGAACAATCCTATGTTGTATCTCCGAACTGACCAGTTTACAATAATTCCATTCTGAAACTTGG